TTCTTCCTTTACTAGAGAAAAACTCACGTGGTTTGCTTTCATGTTCATGTCCCCAAAGAACAAGATCGAAAAACGTCGGGATGTACTGCTCCGGAAGATAGGCCCCAGTCGAGCGAAGCGTCGACCTTTAAATTTACACTGCTTTATTTCGAGAACCTATGACTACAATGATTTTCTATCGCTACTATTTAATGCTACGTATGAATCAGCGGGACATACAGTATGGTTCGCGTCGGATAATGGGACGTGTCCGCGCGGCTGCTTTTGGCGCGCAGCCAACCTCATTCTCCACCAACTGTTGGGGAGGAGGGTAACAACAAGTGGTGGAAAACGAATAACATGAAGGATATGACACAGTCTCGTCTTCGTCGAAAGAAAGAAAGGGTTCGCGCCAGCCAATCGCAGTCGCGCGAACAAGCGCCATCATCCGCAGCGAACCAGATACTGCTCAAGTTAAGGAGTACAGCCATGCAGAGGGATTAGGGATAAGTCCGCGCCACGTTGGTCATCTACGTTCTTCTGAAAAAGTTGGGGGAAGGACTGAGATCTCGATCGGGAGAAGCAGGAGAGCAGTTTAGTTACACCTGTCTCCTCCCCCCAACTTGCCCCTATTCGGGAATCCATGATGATCTTTAACATAAGAGAGGGACACAATCTGAATGTCACTGGCAAAGCGAAACTAGTCCTTCAAACCTTTTTGGGCGATTCTGGTGAAGGACTAAGATGTTGAACCAGTCATCGTATCCAGCGCGAGGTCGTAGAAACCGTATGGTATGTCCTAAATATCCTAATCTGAGAAAATAATCCTAGAGCGCTTCCATACTTCGTAACCTGATCGCTCGCGATTGCACCATCGGATCGCGAAGTATGTACGCGCTCTTAAACACTCTGAATCCAAACATCGTACCAGCGAAGGCTCTGCAGAGTCGATCATCTCTCTGACTTCCTATACCAAACAATGCTACACGTGTTGAGCCCTTCCGTAGGAGGATAGGACTAACCTGTTGAAATGGATTAGTATCAGAACTTAGCGTTCTGAGAATGAACAGGGAGATGGGGGAAGTTTCAGTGCTCCAGAAACATGCGACTGATCAAAAAGGTTTTGTTGTCTCTCTGCACGTTCCCAGATTTCGTTTAAAACTTGCGATTTGGCTAATGAGGTACGTAAGGCTGTGTTCATACTTTGCGTCAGCAATGTGATCAATGTGCGGCAACGTTTCGAGCGTTCGGATCGACTAGCAAAATACACTCCAGTTCGCTGCGGACGGTTGGGCGTGTCAGGCAGTATGAGTGTTCACACCGTCAAAGCCGTTCTCTGCCTTCTTGTTGAAGCGCGCATGCGACAAAAAGTGGTAGAAAACGAGTAATACGAACGATATGATACAGTCATATCACTTGCTCGCTTTAACAACTGGTGGAGAACGGGTTTGGCACCGCGCCAAACTCATCCCGCCTGACACGCCCAACCGTCCGCAGCGAACTACACTTTATAGATAGCGTACACCAGAGTACGGCAATGTCTCGAGAGCAGGCCAGTGGAGCGCGCGTTCGAGCGACTAGGGATGTATAGATATCAATCTAGCGTTCTGAGCTGACGCCATCACTTCCAGCGACTGCCTCCGAAAAGCTCAAAACTACCCGCGCAAACGCTCGGGACGCTCCGTACCCTCATATCGCTGGCAAAGTATGAACGCAGCCTTAGAGGTATTCAGTTAAAAGTAAAAAGCACTCTCGCGCTGCCATGACCTTGATACCACCAGCGCAAGCGCCGTGGTTGTAGAATGAAGGTTGGTGGACAGGAATGCAGTCCAGGGCGTCCACGTTGTGTCACATGCACGTGCTTCGCACCAGGACCTAATTCGCTCAAGGTAGCAGCGTATATCGAGCAAACTAGCCAAGAAACAGCCAAACAGCCTGATAGCCTGCGCGTCGTTGCAATGCGGATCTCCTGAGCCACGGTCGGAGTACAAGGGCCGATTCATTGACGAAATGTCCCTTCCAAATTACCTTTACGCGAGGATGAGTATTATGGCGAGAACACTTCCAAAAAGATGTTCTGTATGCACAAGTAATAGAAACACTTTTAATATATCAAAGTTGTAAAACTCACGTCAAACTGATCAATATCCGAGAACTTGCCAAAAAGGTTGACCAGACCTGCCTCATGCAAAACATCGAGAATAGTTAGGCCCTGAAAGAAGTTCAGTACCTAATTCCAAAAGTAGCGACGGTATCTACTAGTTCAAGCATACCATACCTTTCCAGCTGTATCGTCATGATTCCCATGAATGGTGAAAATAGGCAAACCCACATTTATATTAGCGTCCTTAATTTAAGTGGTATCATTTAAAGTAAGTCCAGGCTCTCAGTACGCGTTAAAATCCAATGCTGGTATTGAAGCAAAAAAAAATCAGTGAGCAAAGACAGTTTGAGGAGGGTGGGGGGGGGCACTACGCGGCAATGTGAATATGTATGCCACGTCACGAGACAAGCTGTATAGGAACCTCATACCTTATCGTCTGCGCTCTCTCACCTATTTCAGACTTCATAAAGTGGCTCTCTTATTACGGGAAAAACGCTCAAGATTCAAAATGCACTGGTGCTGTTCCGTTACGTTTCTCCGTTGGACATTTCAAAACGTGACATAGTCGTGCCGCCGCGTGCCCCTTACCCCCCCCCCCAACCACCTCTACACCAGAAACGAATCCGCCAGACAAACTAATGTTGTGCTACCGAACGAAGGAACACCAACTATAACGAACTGACCTCATAATTGACTCTGTCGAAACGACTGTGTTCGAAATTTACGGAAGCGTCAGAGACAAACTCTAGCGCAACCTAGACGAGTAGGGATAAGTTTTTGCTTGGCAACAAATAATTACAAGAAGAAGGAGAATTTATGGCTGCTATATCAAGACATACGTCCCATCTGGTCATTTCAAACTGAGATTTTACTGGGACGCTGGTAAGACAAGGGCGTATCGGGAAATAGGCCGCGGAGAGTGTTGGGCATCGCAAATACACGCGCCGTGGAAGTTAACTTCTCTGTTGCCAGGAGGAGTGCTTCATGGCCGCTGGCAAACGAAGTCGCGCACTTTTACACGCAGCACTACGCGCTGACGGTTTCGGATACAAATCGCGGCGCCGTTCAGACCTTAGTCCATGCAGACCGTTCTTCCACTTCCCTATCACTGGGCCATTACGCCCGGGAATTTTTAGCGATCGGCAAACAAAGGGGGTGATCCGCGAAAATCTCGGCCGCGCGCCATCGTTTCGACGACGCTGCGCGGCAGATATTCTTCTGGCGTCGAAGCCCTCGCCGCAGCATCTGAGACTTTGTCAGAAGCAAAGATCTCGCGACCAGCCCTTCCAGGCCGGGCCGCGCGCAAAATCGATATCTATTCAGAGGTGTAGATGGAAGCCAATCACATGACAAGGTGAGACGACGCTATTGTAGTTGGTTGGGGGGGGTACGTAGAATGTGGTTTTCCAGGGAGGTAGATTTAGTCGCACCGTCCCATTATCCATTCCCAAGTGTCTGAGGCCGCGTTCATACTTTGCGACTGAGGAGACTAGGCGATTGCGGAAACTCGGCTATCGCTGAATCTCCGCAGTCACTAGCATCAGGTCTGACCCATTCACTACCTTGGCGCGCAATCGCTGATTCTATCTCATCGTCAGATTGATAATATTTTTATCGGAGTATGGTGCTGTCCCGGAGTCTCATTTCTTATCTGAGTGTGTAACAACAATGTGAAACTCCAAAAGTTTATTCCAAAAAACTCAAAAGACAGTGAAAGTCTCAAAAGTTTTTTATAATATATCTTAACTTGCGATATTTCGGTGCGTAGCACCTTCGTCAGGCCAGTTGTCCCGAAATAAAACTTTTTATTTCTAAACTTTTGGAGTTTCACATTGTTGTTACACACTCAGATAATATTTTTATCGTAGCGCGATATCTCATCGACGAATCTTCTTAGCTGCGAAGTATGAACGCGAACCAAGGCAGAAGATTCAAACAAAACGAAAGCAATCCTCGTAGAACGACAAGCACATACCTAACAAAACCATGTCCACTTTCTTTTCTGTAGCGATTTTCAGCACCTCTTCGAAAGTGTTAACCGAGTCGAGATACCTGAACGAATAGATTTCGGAAATTGTGGTGGGTCTCTTCGAATTCATTGAAGGAATAAGTGCTACTCACAGGTTAGGTTTGTTCTCACCGTAGC